TCCAGTTGGATCCCTAGGCATGGGCAGGCTGTCAGCTATAGCACTGTCGTCTTAACAATGTGTCTGAGCATTGGTGACAAATCCAAAGCCTCTGGAATTGATGGGATTTGGATTTACAGAGGACTATGGACAGTGGGCAATGATGAATATTCACGGTTTTTGCAATAGCACCTAATGAAACTTTGAGGTGGCTCCCTATTTCAACCTTCTTGGCTGGCACTCTCCAGTCCACCCTATCCACCACCTCCTCCACCATTTTCTGTGCTTTCTCCTTACTTCCTGCATTGCTGCCTTAAGCAGATCTACAAAAAGATGGCAGAGCAGCAAGGTAAGAGGGGGCTGCAGCAACATCTGCCACATTTCAGCAACTGACAACAGCCAAACAAAGCTGAAGGTAAAACATAATGTAAGAATATGTGTAGGGGCTGTGTTGAACTGTAAGTGTTCTTGGGGTGGCTGTGGGCACGTTAAAAACAGTATTAGAAAATAAGGTGCTTGAGCAGAAAGTTTCTGTTCATCTCAGTGAAATGAGGGAGCACAGATCTGTAGACTAACTCTGTTCCTTCACTCCTATCTAATGCAGCATCAGCAATGTGCCACGCATCAGCCTGGTGAACGAGGTGAGAAAGCATCACTTTATTACCAGTGTGATGTAAAAACAAAATGAAAGATACCCTTGTGTGGAGTGAAACTGCACCTAGTGCAAAAAAACCAACACACTCTAGCACATTCCCTTTGACAGGGGCTACAGGTGAGGTTGTTTTGGGGTAGTTGGTTTTGTTCCCTTTCACCCCCACTGCGAACAGTTATTTCTTCAGAACAGTCAACTGTCAATCCAAAGAGTTGTTCATTTTTTGCAAATGTGATCTTACTGTTTATGTAACTCCCTTAGCAATGAAGTTTTTGAAAGTTAGAGAATAGGACCTCAAGACTCCTAAAAGCTGCAGTTTCTGCTGGCTTTGGCTTTCAGGGTATCTTTTTTAATGGCTGTCTTACATGGAAAGGAAACTGGGATGAAAACCACATGTTTACATAGCATTTGCCTTTCCTATTGGGGGTGATGATGCAGCGCTCTGAAGCGAGAGGGCTGGTGGGTTGGTGACAAGGAACAGTCTAGAAATGTCTCTTCACAGCCTCTGCTCAAGACAGTTCATGGTGTTTGGTGGGGAAGTCAGACTCTGCAGAAGACAGCTTGAATTCTTGTGAATTGTGTTTCAGGTATCAAGTGCTGGATGTATGCTGCTGAAAGTGTTGTTATACAAGTAAGTGCATAAAACTATTTTAATTGCTTTCATTAAAAAATGTTAAAATCATAAATATTATAGGTTGCAAACAACATAAGACAAAGCAAATAGTACAGTAATGGATACCCACATTATAGAGAGATACCCACATTAGTAGATACCCACATTTATACTGTTACAGAGAAATCCATTATTTTTAGGAAAGTTAATAAGTATTTTCAAAGAGATGTTGCTTTGCTGAGGCTATCCTGGGATAACAGGAAGAGTATTTGGATTGTTCAGCAATAAGCTCTTCTTTACTTGTGTCATGACAGCAGATTTGAAAAGTTTCTGAGCTGAAGTCACTCTTAATTCCCTTGATGAGTGACACAGTGAGTGAGAGCAATTATCCCTAAATTTAGCTGTTCTTTTATGCTCAAACTGATGTATATTGCCCCAAATATTAAATGAATGGCTTCTAAAAATCAAATTTCAGTCTTGGGAAACTCCTTGCACGCTAGTCAGTTCAGCTATGCTGCTCAGTATTCATGGCGTGGAACAGACTGCCTGTGCCTATTGTTTTTGGTCCCAGATAAAATCTCCGAAGGCTTTGGCAGCCTCAAGCTCTATTGAAGTCCTCAGGCTCTGCAGATGCTCACAATTTTATTATGTTGTTGTTAAAAGTGTTAGGATTTTCAAAGGCCTACCCATCAATATTGCAAATAGCAGTAGCAAAATCTTTTCATTTTGTACAAACTAGTGCGACCTGGAGACCATTCCAGCCTCCAAATGTACATCTGTCCAAGCAAAGGGTTGCCAGAAACAAGTAACAGGGATACTGAGACCATTGCTCAACAACCACAACCATTATTTTGCAATATTTATTGAGTTCTGCAGGAGGTTTCCTGGAATCAGAACTCAGTTGGTTTAGTAGCAATATTTTCAGTTGTGTCATATGGATTGTTTCATGTTATTAGACCTGAATGCTGTTATCTAACATTTCAGAATTGCTAGTTGCAGATCTTGCAGCACTGCATTTGCATGCTGCCACCTACAGCAAAATGCCATGTAATTTTATTACCAGCTGTACGCACCGTGAGTCTCCCTGGTTATCTGTCACTATCAAGGGGAAGTGTCTTCAGGAAGGGCACCTTTCCTATTCTGCCTGGTTAAGTGAACATCATGCATCCAGGTGCCTTATTTTCAAAACTTTTTCCTGAATGTTTAAGTGTAAGCTGTCTCAAGAGTAGCATGCATGCATATATATATATATTTGTATATATATTTGCCCTTCTAACCAGTTTTGTAAAAATGACACGTTTATTTTTAAGAGGACTTTCCTATGTATTTTCCTCATCTATGCAGTTCTCTGAGACACAAGTACGGTCAGAGGCTTTTTTCTTGTCTAGCTAAAATATATGTTGTGGATTTTTTTAAAATAGATTTGCCTATCTTTCCAGAAAGATCTACTCTCTTAAGCAGCAGGTAAGGAAAATAATATGGATAAAATAACTGGGGAGGAACGGGAAAGGACATTTCATATATTTAATCTTATTATACATTTTTCTACATTAAAGTCAACAAGCTGCAAATATATTCTGCTACAAAGCTTTGTGTAAGAAATATCTCTATAAGAAAATACATCTCATTAAACATTTCCTGTAAATAAATTATCCCAAATAACTATGTTTTGCAAGAGGAAAAGTGGGGATAGGCCAATGATAAGAAGAGCTAAAGATTGCCGAGAGCTCATCTCTGCAACCCCTCTGCTCAAGCTGGGTGTCATTCTCTTTTTAATATGTAGTCACAATGAGAGCAGTAGAGTTCCTCTGCTGGGCATGTCCTGTGTCAGCATAAATAACACTTGCAAAGTTAGTTAGTTCCTGTGCTTTTTTTAGTAGCTTGAAATTATGTTATGCTGTTTCTGAGCCTTATTCCCATTTCAGTTACACTTGAAATAAGCAGAGTTGCAAAGATAGGACTGCAAGATACAACTGAGTGAAATTGTTTGAAAACCAGAAGATGTCATGTCTCTGAGCAGTCCCCTCTGGGTCAAGAAAAACTAACTCCAGGAGGGAAAAAGGTGTGTGAAATACTCTTCTTATTTCTACCCTTATGAAAGATAAAGGCAACACAGCTGAGGTCTGTTCTAATTAGGAACTCTGCATCAGGTGGTGTAGCTAAGCTATAGCTTTAAAATAACCACTGCTGGAGACATGTCAGTGGAAAGAGGTGTCTTAGGTAATGGGTGACGTGTTCTTCAAAGTTAAAACTACATACAGGTGTACCCAGGTTGTTCAGAACTAAGTAAACAGAAAAGGCCCTTGTATTACAAAACATGAAAATGGGTAATTATAAATGGGTAGTAGATCAATTATAGAATCAGGCTTCTTTAAAGAAGTATCAGTCTCTTTCTTTACCAATGTCTATACAAAGGAATACTTGCAAATAAGTAAAATGAAAAAAAAGTTTGAAAAGAACTGGGAGACAAGTCAAGAGGCTGTCCTTTTTTCAACCAGTACACAAAGAGTGTAGTGTTGTCAGTTGGTTCCACAGTCCATGTACTTCCATCATTCCTGGAAGGACTTTCCAGGCTGAGGGGACATCAAGTTCAGGCTGTTATGCAGTGACATGGCATGATGTTTAACACGTCAATTGGGGTCATACCATCTTCATACATCCTTTTCTGCAAGACAGGAGGTGCTCACAAGACCCAACACCTGTTTCTTTCTGCCTCTAATAAACAAATTCATTATTCTTCTGCAGAGTTCCACCAGTAGCCTGTTGCTGCTAATAAAGTGTAAAAATTTGAGTTTGTAGGAGTATGTTCTTAACACCTCAACAAATGTAAACATCATCTGTTACAACAGAAACAGCGACACAACTTCATAGCTCTTTATGTTTGGCACATCAATGCTCTGCTATTTCTTTTGGAAATGTCAATAATGCAAGTATGCTTAGGCAAAGAAAGTATATTTAGGACTAAGGAGCAACTATAATTCTGGATTCAGCATGCACATATTTGCATCATCTGTTCAACCCAACGTATACTAGCAGTAAACTGAGGCAAATACAAGCAATTAAGCGCCATACTATGACACTGAACTACATAAAGCATTTCAATTTACCTATGTATAGGAAAAAAAACAACCAACACAACCCTGTTTAAATTCCTGCTCTTACAGAAACTGCTGCTTTCTTGAAATTGTGAGATGGCAAGTTTTCACCTCTCTCATGAGGGCCTGTGAAACAGCACTCTTGTCCTGCAGGAGCGCTTGCTTTGCTGAAGCCTCAGCCCTGAACAACAAGGGCATGTGGACATTCACAGTAACTATTTCCATTTCTCACACCTGCAATATGACCAATAATGGGTTGACAGATGAGTCTTCCCGGCAGGCACTGCTTCCTATAAGAGTACAATGAATACAATGTATTTAGCAGTCATTACCATGCAGGAAACCCCACTGTAGCCCTAACACTGAACCCCTGAAACATCACAGAACACAGCAAGGTAAGCAACATTAATTTCCACTGGTTTGCATACTAGCATTTCCCACACGCTGTAGAAGTTATTTACAGAAAAGCTGAACAGTAGAACTCCAGCTGCACTTGTCTTTACCACCAGCTCAAAAAAAAAGAAACGCATTTGGTGTGACTTCTACCCTAACTGTTACTTTAGCCTTTCTGCTTTCATTTGCAGTCCTCATTTCCCACCATGCCGTAATGCATTAAAGACATAAAGCCACAGTCACTTAATACTATCTTCCCAATCCTCATTCAGATTTTCTGGCACACATGAAGTCTGGATTTAGAAGAGGAGGTTGCATCTTTCCATACTTTGCAAGACAGCCCTTTGGCACAGTCACATCGTTGGAAAATCTCCAATCCATGGGAGCCTTTCTTGCGCTGCTTGGTGCACACCTCTCCCTGATGCAACACAGGCTTGCAAATTTTGGTCCAGAAATGACGAGCACAGCAGTGTCCCTCAATACAGTCTGAAGACCGTAGGCAGGGATCGCCTTCATGTCCTAAAAAGAGCAACCAAACTATTTTACCTCATGGAAAAATGTGAAAGTAAAGATTCAGTGCAGGCTGATGCAAATGAAGCTCAGAAAAAGGGAAGATGATATTTCCATCTGTGGCTATTTGAAGGATATAAACACAAGGGAAGATATTAATTAGGAAAGCTTAAGGGGATAATTAAGGAGATCTTCCGTAAGACTTAGTAAAGAGAAATTCAGCTACAGGATTGTAAACAGAATTACAAGTGCTTAATTACATGACTGTTGCAAAAAGAGGACGTGTGTGGTCTTGCACAACTGAAAAATGGGTTGTTAGTCCACCTCTGACACAGAGAATAAAGCAGATACTATTTCAATCACAGGAACCATTGGCTGATGTTACATCACTTTTTTGAGTCAGGCAGTGAACAGACATTTACTCTTGAGATCTGACTGCCTATTTCTGTTTGCATTGCTGTATCTTAACAGCAATAACATGATTCACAACATGAAGGAACAAAGCACTTTGTGCAAATATGATCTTACCTTTTATGTGTGACAGCTTAGAGCGTGGCCTCCCAAGGTGGTGCCATCCCAAATCCTTGCTGGTATAATGACCATTCTTCTTGTTGCGTGGCCCTTCGAGAGCAGGGATGTGAGGTGTGAGAATGCTTTCGGCTACTGGTATGCAAATACCTGCAAGGAAAAGAGAGTCAGTCAAAGATCTGAACAAGAGGAAAAGCAGCCAAGAGATACATACAGCCCAGGATCAGGAAAGTGCTGGGGCTTGGTTTCAGTGGCACTCAGCTCTAAGCACACCTGTGTCCCTGATTCCCAGCGCATAACTTCACTGCAGCTCTGCTTCACTCATGGTCAGAGAGTCTTGCTGTCACTCTGGCTTTATAGTCTGAGCACCAAAAGACTGCCCTGTGGATGTTTCTCTTCAGTCTCCAGAAGAGAGTATGGGAATGCAAACAGTGTGGTTATAACCACCACCTCCCCGAGAGAGTATATCAAGCATTCATTTCTCTTCTGCTTCCTTAAAAATATGGATTCTGTGCATTTTGCCAGTGAATCAAACCACATTGAATGTGTGCTGATTTCAGTCAGCAGCAGCATCGTTTTTGGGTTTCCCCACCTCAAAATGGGAAAAAGTCTGGTAGCACACAAACCTTGAACATAAAATGCTATTAAAGAACATGGAGTGGAATTAAGCAGAAAATTAAGTTTTCTTGGTTTAGAAAAGATGCACAGTCAACCACCAAAGCAAACATACTGTTTGCTGGAAACACTTGGGAGATGCTATCAAAATGCTGTTTTTATGGAGGAAACGGCTGACGTACCGTTGTTGCAGCGGTTCCCAGGGCAGCACATGCCATCTCTGTGGCAACGCTTCTTCTTCCGCCGGCACATCATGCATGCAGATGTTGCTTGATGAGGACTGTGACAGTATCTCCCAACTTCGCATTCCTTATCATTGGTACAAGGATAGGCCTGGTGGGTAAAAGAAAGGTTGACAGTGAAGCACTGCTTTGAACAAGGAGTGTATGCAGCCCATTAAAAATAAAGTAAAAAAAAATAAATTAAAAATCAACAACAACCACTGAAACACCCAGACAAAGAAACCGGTAATTAAGATGCAGGTAGGGATGCTTCACTGCAACCATGCAGCAATCTTTAAGCTCATGCAGCTGGTGAAGTTGTATCTGCTTAAAAAAAGAGAGAGATACAACCAGCTCCCTCGTGGTTTCATCTTTTCTTGCCCCAAACATATTGGCACAAAATAACTTGAATTTTTCTAGGTTCATAGAACCCATAAAATAATTTGGTTTGGAAGAATCCTTTAAAGTCAACTAGACCAACCCCCCCTGCTGTGAGGGACATCTTCAACTAGATCAGGTTGCTCAGAGACCCATCCAGCCTGACTTTGAATGTTTCCAGTGATGGGGCTTCTACCACCTCTCTGGGAAACCTGTTTTAGTGTTTCACAACCTCATTGTAAAAAAAATTCTTCCTTATTTCTAGTCTAAATCTACCCTCTTTTAGTTTAAAACCACAACCTCTTGTCCTATCACAATAGTCCCTGCTAAAAGGTTTGTCCCAGTTTTTTTATAAGCCACATTTAAGTACTGATAAGCTGCAATAAGGTCTCCCTGGAGCCTTCTCTTCTCCAGGCTGAACAACTGCAACTGTCTCAGTCTGTCCTCATAGGAGAGGTGCTCCAGCCCTCTGATCATTTTTGTGGCCCTCCTCTGGACCTGCTCTAGCAGATCTATGTCTTTCTTAAGACATGGAAAGGCATGGCTTCCAGACTCTAATTCATAGACAAGAGCTTAAAACTCCACAGTAAAGAATAAAAAAAAAAAAAAGCCATAAAATTCCTCTCAGTCAGTAAAAATCCTTCAGTAGATAGCATTTTAACTCCAAGGAGACATTTTCTTTTGTTAGCTGCCAAACACACGGATGGATAAGTCACTGTTCTCACACTAGTTCACACCACTTTTTCGCACAACATGGGTTCAAGTTCCTTTGCAATTACACTACTCCCCACTGGGCCACAGTAGTTGGACCCTTTGGAAGTGAACAAACATCACAGGTCAGCATTTCACTTTGATGACCTTTACCTATGGGCTTAGTGCACTCCTTCAGACTTGCACCTGTGAAACAACACCCTATGGTGCAGCATCAGGCACAAACTATCTTGCTCGTGTAATTCCCTGCAAGCAGACACACATATATACAATTCTCCTATATTCATCAAAACCAGCATTATCTTACAGAAAAGCTAACTTTTAAAAAGAGGATGTGAAAGCACTGTATTCTCACATAAAGAGACAGAAAAAAAAAATATTCCTACAAAGGGAAAAGACATTATGTTTTAAGGAGGCCAAACAACACACACTGCCACATTCCAGGATCCTTTCTGCTGACTCCCACACAGCTACAACTCTGCTTTCTATCTGCATCTAATTTTGCTGCCTATTAAATTAATTATATACATATATATATATATTATTCCTCAAAATTGTTCTTAAGGGATTCATATTGATTAAAAAATAATAATAAACTTAGGGCACTTTCTGGAAAACTATGCTTATGCCTCCTCAACTGATCTTCTCCAGCATTTTAAATAAATCAAAGTATTGCTTTTACTGTTTTCAAAAATACTCTGGCAATAAATTGACACAAGCAAAAAGCTGAACTGACTAATTTTCAGTGTAGGCTGATTACTTTTCTAATAACATTTTACATACAGGCTTGATTGTATTGTTCTTGGAAAAGAAAAACTTGGAGGCTGTTGAGAATTTATTTGGAACATTGTTCTTTTAGATGGAGAACTTCTTGTTTCTCTGTCTTTGTGCCTTTCTGTTGAGAATCACAGAAGAAACAAGAGGTCTGATAATAAAACCAAGTGATGTTAGTGGGAGGGGGAACCATGTCGTTTCCAATGTGATTTCATTATTTGTTTTCTTTGTCAGAATTTACTTTTACAGTACCAAAAATGCTGGCTGGATATTTCCCAAGTGCTGCTGCCCGATTATTTCTGCCCTCTGAATATGTGTCTTTGAAGAATGATTCCAGAGTGCAGCTGTTTGGAGTAATCTGACCTATGTTTAAGTCTTTCTCCCTTAAGAACAAACATCTCCTCCTGAGTACATCCTCGAGAGGATGAACATCAAAGGCAACCAAATCTTTAAGCTAAGAGTAGCAATAAAAGACAATGCAAGCACTCACCTGTATGGTACTCTTAAGGCAGAAGTGGAATCTATCTATTCTAGCAAAGCAGAACTAAAGTGCTCTCCTCTCAATCTCATCACTCCTTTCCCTCATTTTTCCAGCAAGAAGTCATTAACACTGACTTGCAATTTATGATACAGTTCCACAACAGTAAGGCATCCGTGACTTAAATGAGAGCTCACTAAACTAAGGATCTTACCATGCAAAAAGTGATTTTATATAGGTCTGTGAGTGGCTATAATGAGTTTGGAAAATACTAACACTGCTAGCTGAGGGAAAGGCAAATAAAAAACAGATGAACCAGCTAAAACCTGGAGATGAAGGCATTTTAGACCCTTGTCTGTCATCAAGACCTTCATAACCGCATCTTTTTTTCCAATATAGGCATGTGGTATACACCTGCAACTTGTCAGCAAGAAGCCTACTTGCAGTTTTCTTTTGGTTCCTCAAATAGCTTTTAAAAAAAGAGTTCCCTGATCCTGAATGGTGCTAATGAATGCTCTCACATACCATATATAGTGTCTGGTTTACTTTTGGCTTTTAGGCTGAGTGACATGTAAAAGATATGCATCTAATTGCCAACTCTCAGTTCTGTCTTTAAGAATGGTAAAAGTAACAAAAGGCATTATTTACTTTAAAAATTGCCAAGAAAAGTGATGCAACTCAGCCTTTAGTCCTACTCAGGAGTACCATCCTAAATAATGACATTTTTCAAATGAAAAAAATAAGCCAAAACATTCACCTACCTAAGGCAAATGACTGCAGCACACAAAAAAATATTGTGTGTTAGATGTAGTTCAGACAACAACCACCAAGACCATTCAAAACCCCAGAAGACCAGCTCCCAGCCAGCTATATGAAAAACTCTCTTGCAAACACTTGATGCCATCAATTGCCTTGATCTGTCTTCCAAAACCACCATCCATTTGATATGCTAGCTATCAATCACAGCAAGCTTGAAACAAAAATGCCTACATAGCTTTGTGTCTGTCGCCTACTCACTAGACATCCAGTTTATCACTCCATTTCCCAGCAAAGTAAATTCTGTCACTGGGCAGCATTCAGTATTAAAACACAACAATAAACCAAATAATATAGTGTGTATAGAACCTTGGCTCACGGCGGGGAAATGTGTTCATAATTGTCCCGTTGTTGGCAGTAGCTGACCCAATCTATGTATAAATACACAGATATAATTTTAAAATACAGAATAAAGAAAACAGACTAGCAAAAACGTACATGTTAACAATTGTCTGTGCATGAGTCAAGGTTTTCAAAATCTACACCACAGTGCCTGAAACAGGGTCTTTACGTTTAGAGAATTGTAGAGAACATTTCCTATATACAATTCAAAGACACAAATCAGTCCCAGATGGAGAGGGGAAAAGCAAGCTGTAAACCAGCTCTACTTCCCCAGCAATGATAACTAATTCTACAAGGCACATCATCCCTTCACATTCTTCAGCTATTCATATCATTTTCTGATCGTAAATCTCTACCCACTAAACACAGCTTTGATATCATGGGAAACCAGATGAAACCGAGATAAAATATGTAGCACTCCCTGAAGCTGCATTTGTACAATGTTATTTAATTTTTTAACCCAGATTACAGGCAATCAAGTCACCCGTAGCATGACATAAACTAGATTTGCCTGCAACGAGTCTCATTTTCAGAATTTGTTGCCTGATTAAGGCAACAGCTTGCTGACATGCTTTCTCCTCACTCATGCCAATTACTTTTGTATCCTTGTATAAAAGATACTGCTAAATGTGTGTTCAAAAAGGTACAGCAAAGTAGCACTGGATTTCTGCAATGTTGGAGGATTCAGGCTAGGTACTTAAATGGGTTTTGCTCATGCTGTGCCAGGATGTCCCCTATATCAGTCCACCATGATTGACCTTTACCAGCCAGGGGATAGCAACACATTAATATTAATATTTTCCCATTTTCAGAGCAAGAATATTAATTTCTGTTCCTACCCTTCCTGAATTTATATTCAAAATGCCAAGAGCAAATGATAGAAATACTTGATTAAAACAATGCAGATACTAGAGGAGAAAAGTTGAGGGGGTTTATAGTTCAACAAGTCCTTCCAGGAGTACTACTGAAGCTCTTTCTTTTGTATTAACTTCACAGTGAAGTTCGAGAAGGCACTGACTATCTAACTTTTGTGACTAAGTGGCTAACACCATTCCCTTCATTTGGGAAGTGCTGAGGAGGGAGTGAGGTTTATTTCTATCTTTGTCTTCCCCTTTTGGCAGAGATCTAACTTAGCAACTTTTCTTGGTGCAATGAGGCTTTCTTGATATGTTTGCTGGAGTCATTTACTATCCCACATATTTTACATGGTCATCCTGAACCACAGAGTTTCACCATAAGCTGGATCAATACTAGGTGGTGGGATTGTGCTATAGAGTCAGACCAAGTCTGTCTGTTTGGCACTATAAAATGTAATGGAGAAGTGCTCTAGGGGGAGAGTAACACAGAGGCTGTAACGTGCTGAAGGGTGAGTTGACTGATGGCAGACACACTTCATTGAGCTCTGGGAGATAAGGGCTTGAATTTCAGCATGGCCTCCAGCAAAATGTTTGAAGATATATTCCCGGCCAGTGTCTTAGTCATCAGGCTCTATTTGCTCCTATGATGTCTCATTTACTTTTAGGCTAAAGCTACTCCATGCCATACTAGCTGACTATGTTAGAGAAAGGCAGGAAGAGCCACTGGCATTTTTACCTAGGCTGTGTCATCACTTA